CGTGCACCAGGCCTCTATTCTTTATAGTAAAAGGCTAATATGCAAACTGACCCTAACAGCAGAAAGACTGGGAATGACTGGTCACTATGACACACACTGACCACCAGGGGGCAGACGCTCAATGCAGGAGCTCTGGCGGTCAGTGAGCTCCCACATGGAGGAGCTCTGCTCAGCCACAAGCCAGGCTGATGGCTGCCAGTACAGCAGTGGTGGTGGGAGCCTATCCTGCCTCCTCCGCAGCGCTAAGGTTGTCTGACTGCAGCTTAGGTCTGCTCCCTGCTGGCAAGTGGACATCCCCTGAGAGCTGCCGTGCTGCCAGAGGGTTGTCTGATTGCCATCTTAGGCCAAATCCCCCAAGGAACAGGCCTCAGCCAGCAGATGGTCATCCCCCGAGGTGTCCCAGACTGTGAAAGGGCACAGGCCAGGCTGAGGAACCTACCCCTGCCCCCGAGCACACAAACTTTTGTGCACCGGGCCTCTAGTACTATATAATAAAAGGCTAATATGCTAATAGACAGGAATGACTGGTCACTATGATGCACACTGACCACAGGGGGCAGATGCTCAATGCAGGAGCTGCCCCCTGGTGGTCAGTGTACTCTGTGGGAGTGCTGCTCAGCCAGAAGCCAGACTCATGGCTGGTGAGCACAGTGGTGGTGGTGGGAGCCTCTCCTGCCTCTGCGGCAGTGCTAAGGATGTCCAACTGCCAGATGTCAGTCAGACATCCCCCGAGGGCTCCCAGATTGTGAGAGGGTGCAGGCTGGGCTGAGGGACACACACACACCCCACCCTGCCCCCAGTGCACGAATTTCATGCACCGGGCCGCTAGTAAATTTATAATTCTTTACCACTTTCACATACCTCCTTCCTTGACCCTAGCAGTTTCCTCCCTCCTTCTTCAGTCTTATTTTTCTCAATGTCCCTATATCCCTCCCTTCCAACTACCTTCTCTCCTACCACCTCCCTATTCTCTCAGTAAATTTCCAAATGTCTATTAAGTGTCATGGGGAGAAGAGTGGGGTGCAGAAAGTATGTTTTGCTTCTTTTCTCCACATTTGGCTTTATTGTGTGGAAGATCATGTGTTACTTTTGTAAATGAAAATTTTATTTATTATTATTATTTTTAAAATCTTTATTGTTGAAAGCATTACAGATGTCCCCTTTGTTTGTTTTCCCATTGACCCCCTCCACCCCGCACTGCCCCTCCCAGGCCTTCACCAGGTGTCCTTGGCCAATGCATATATACATATAACTCCCTCAATTAATCACTCCTCCCCACACCCCCACCTTCCCTCTGAAATTGCTCAGTCTGTTCAATGCTTCTATATCTCTGGATCTATTTTGTTCATCAGTTTATTTTGTTCATTAGATTCCACATATGAGTGAGATCATGTGATACTTGTCTTTCTCTGACTGGCTTATTTCACTTTTATTGTGTGGAAGATCAGGTGTTACATTTGTAAATGAAAATTTTAAAAGAAAAAAGAAATCAATGAATTCTTCAGTTCAGTTCAAATATTTATTGTGCTTGGTTGCCAGTCCAAAGGACCTGAAAAACTAAACATTCTAAACAAATCTGGTCGGTTTAACTCTTAAAAAGAGTTAAGACTCAAAGATGGAGAGAGACAAAGAGCCAGAGAGCGAAAGTGAAAAGGCCCCATAAAGAATAACTTGTGTGCTCTGAATCATTCACTGCTCCCAACCCTGAAAGTGACAGGAATGTAAGGTATGGAGGTCAAGGCTAGAGTCAAAGAAGTGCCTTCAACCCCATCCCTGACAGCCAACTCCAGGTAATGACCCTCAGTTCCAGTGTAGGCGCCCCAGTGCCCAGCTGCTCTGAGCCGCAGAGCCAATGTTGCTGCAGTCAGTCCAGAGAGCAAGAGGAGGGCGGGCGGTGATCTCCCTGCAGCTCCCCCTTCAGCAGCTACCGGACGTGCGCGCGCGCGGGACAGTAGGGAATCCTTTTGTATACGTAAGATCCAGGAAACGAAACCAGAGCCTCCATTCAGCGCCAAGGTCGCTAAGAGGACCGTCCCTGGTGACTTCCGGGGAGGCTGTGTAACCGGACACGCAGGGGCCACCCAGGGGCCAAAGGCAGCAGAGCCACCGCCTGCGCCTGGGTTCCCTTTTCTGGTCAGCGCAGGGCGGTCACGGAGCAGCGGCAGCCACAGGTGAGCTGGGGGCGTTCTCTGCCTCCTGGCGCGGGACTTCAGGGGCGGCTTGTGACACAGGGGCGCGAGGGCAGCGGGTTGCGCTGGCACTGAGATTGGTGGGTACCTGGTGGGACAGAGGTCCTGGGGGCCATGGGAAGCCGCCCGGAAGTGGAGCCAGGGCTCAGGAAGGGCACTGCTGGCCACCGGGTGCTCCAGGCCAGGAACTTGCCCTGACGAGATCCCCGTCTGAAACCGCCAGCCAGGCTCGGCTTCTAGTGGGTGTCTTCACAGCCCCGAGAGCACCTTGAATCAAGGCAAGAACCTGGGCCCAGGGGGATCTGCCAGCCCATTGGGGAAGTTGGAAGGAACGAGTAATAGAGCCTGCTAGCTGTCGTTTAACAGTAAACACTAAATAGGAGTGTGGGTGGAACTATGCCAGACACCCTGGAAAATCAGCATGGGAAAGATAGAGGCGGTTTGTAGAGGCCAAGACCATTCTCTCAGGAGTTCCCCTGTCTGCCTGAATCCTGCCTGTACTACTTAATATGGGGACTTCCAGCCAGTTTCTTCAAAGACCGTCCTTCCTTACCTCATTCTGGAAATTGTACAACTATTAAGATTTACAAGAGTTAGAGTAGGACGTGAATTAGTGAACTTTGTTAGGGCAGGATCTGGCACTGCAGAAAGTACTCAGTGAAAATCAGTTCTTATTGTTTGAATATTTGACTAAGTTCAGCTTCTCCATGCTTACTATCTGGTTCCCTGGGGTTTTATTTATACATTTACTTATTCCTGGAATTCTGGCATGGTAACTTCCCAGTTCCAGGAACAGGCAGGAAACTATTGTTTCTCCTAGTTTAGAAAGATCCGGAACATGATTAGTACTGTGCAAAGTGTCACTTACTTAGTGTCAAGTGTCAGACGATTTGGGATCACTTTTTCTCCCTTGAATTTTTGTAACAGCATAAGTTCCTCTTAATACTACCCTGACGATTGGAGGAGTTTGAAGGCTGAACTAACACAAGGCTGCTTGTAAAATGAGTGGACTTTTGCACTTAGGTAGAAAAGTGGCATTTGAAATAGCTAGGTCATAGGAGATTAAGCAGCCTTCAAATCTGTAAGGCAGCTGTTCTTTCTGACTGAAAGGAATGAACTAATACAGTACACACCCTGTTGAGTCAACAAGCACAAATTAAGTGCTTTGCCTTGGACTGGCTATGCTCTGGCCTTTCAGAGTGTAAAGTGCAGCTGGAGACAGTGAATGTGTGAGAACTCCATCCTCAAGTCTAATGACCTCTCCCTCCTAGTCCGTAACTCACAGAAATTTCCTTTTCTTGAATGAGACAAGCTCCCTCAGCCTCAGGACTTCTACCTATGCAGTTACCTCTGTCTGTAATGCCACAGCCTACCCACTCTTCACACACACTTCCTTCAGCTCTGGGATCTCTCTTCCTTGACACACACATCCCCACTACCTAACCCAGTGCCCCCATAACTCTATTATAGCAGCATTGTACTTATTCATAGCACTTAGAGTGTTCATAATAAAGTATTGTCTGTCATTTTGTTCTAGTGATTGTTACACTGTTTTACATGCTCTATGCCTCTCATCATATAAAAGGCACAAGTTTTATACTGTTAATATTTACACAATATTTATAAATGTACATGCGCATTATATGTGTGTATATACACACACTGTATAGCAATTTCTTAAGTAGTGCTAAATTGAAAAAGTCAAAGTACAGCTGTTAATTAGTACTAACAACTGTGCTTTTCATTTTTAAAATTTTGAATGTAGTAAGTGCTTATGAAATTTCTAGCCTGGCTAGAACTAAAAACAAAATGGCCATGAGTAAATTTGAAATTATTAAGAGAGATACCATGAAGATAGTCTTTTAACAATTTTACTGAAACTGGACAATTTGGGAGATTTTTTTATTTTTATTTTTATTTATTTTTTTATTTTATTTTTTTTCCCCCATCCTTCCCCCGCCCAGGAGATTTTTTTTTTCAATGAATCAAGGACATGAGCATAAAGCACATGAACCATAAATCATTTTAATTCAGCTAGTGAGTTAGCATTAAGTAACCATTCATTTTTGGGGTGTAGTTTCCTCATTTATAAGGAAGAAAGGAAACAAATTTGTGAGGGACCTCTGGGAATTGTCAGCAAAGGCTTTGCAGAAGGAATAAAGCACCCATGCCAGGGTAACTGACATAAAGTTGTTTTTGTTTCTTTTGTCTTTTTGGTTTACTTGTTAGTTTTGTAGAACACTTGACCATCACTTTCTCAGTTGGTCCCAATTGATGCAATATCTACTTTTATCTTCAAAGTTTACTATAAAATGCTATCTCAAAGTGGGTCTGAGCATGTTTGTTTTGTTTCCTTGAACATGAAATGCAGGAGTAGACTTTTATAGGAAGACTCCCCATTACCAGATACTTTGCTTTTGTAAATCAGCCTTAGCCACCTCACTTCCATCCCATACCTTGTACATGTATTTGGTGGACTCAACATCTGTATAAATTCATCTGGTTTTAGTCTACTTATCTTTTACCAAAACTACAGTTCAACGGATGAAGTATTTTTGTCCTCAGTGTTAACTAAAGCTTTTTAAATGCACAAAATTTACCTATGAACACAAGCTGAACAACATAGAAAGTATTTTATTTTTTATTTTTTTTTACAATTTCCTTCTTTTTTAAAAATTTATTTTCCCTTTATTGATTAAGATATTACAAATGTGTCCTTATCCCCCCAATGTCCTCTCATCCCCCCAATCCTGCCCTCACCCTCACCCCCTGTTGTCCACATCCATTGCTTATGCTTATATGCATGCATACAAGTCCTTTGGTTCATATTTTATTCTATGACCAGTATTGAATAGAAACTTCAAAATACAACTGTCAAGATTATTTGTATAGTTTTAAATATATGTATATATTATGTATATATTTACTGTACTTACAGTATTTTAGTAATGGAACAAATAGCACCAAATTTTAAACAATTATTTGGTAAACAGTACTTTGCAATTGAATTTAGACAATTCTACCAATACTCATTTAATTCTACTTGTTAATTTAATCCTAAAATTTATTGAACAATAATAAATTTCTGTTACTGCTAATTGCCTCACCTCATTTTCTAAATTAATGTCACAACAATCCTCTTGTAAAGGCATCATTTTCCTTCAAATCTAGTTTTGCCTAATTTGTAGGCATAGTAATTTTAGGATTTTCCAAAATGAGGGATGCTTCCCCCTTGGGTTCCAAATTTTATAGTCATACTTTTTTAAAAGCAACAAGATCGAAATTTTAGAACCCCAAGACATGGTCAAAAGGGTTTCACTGTATTATGAACTGTGGAACCATTTACTGGATATCAGCTGAACTATTTCTCCTTCTCCTGGTCATAGAAGTTTATAATTTTAAGTTTTTATTTGTCCTGAAGTAATTAAGATTTCAATGTTACAGTATATAATATGACTTCATTAGAGACTATATAGGATAAATATGACTTTCTCTGTCTTAGAAGATTTTTTTTGGAATTTGTTTCTTATAGAAGTAGTGGAGGCATTATTTAATTAAGGTATCATGTTAATTAAGTAACTAATTCACCCAAGACTCAGCTCCGTCATTCCCAAAGCTGAGTGATGTTATGTCTTGTGATAGAATCATTAAGTTTGAGAAAATCAAAAGATCCTTAAAACAGCAAATAGTGGACAAGGCTGAACTTGGTGGATATCTTTAATCCACAAGTGCTTTATTCCACCTGGCATACACACAGGTACAACTGTCACTTAACATTTTGCACCACAGCTTATGACATAACCATTTTAATGCTTGAGGCATTATGTAATAGTGAAAATTCTAAAAGCTATGGGAAAATGAGGGCCCAGATTGTGTTCCACGGTGTTTTTTCCAACAGATACTCATCCTTACAAACTTGTAGTTTAAGACTCAAAATAATGTAATCAAATAGGAAGGAAAAAAGCAAATAAGAACAAGTGTGCTCTGTTTTGGGGTCAGTTTAGTTTCTCTTCTTTGGATTTCTGTACAGGGAGGGAATGATCTCTGACCCTGTGAAAGAAAGATATTCAAGATGGCACTCATTTGGCAAGGACTTGTTAGGTCACAGCACTCCATTGCTCAGGAGCTTTTACCTTTTCCTCATGTGATTCACAGCATTTATTAATGATTTCCTCTTTCTGGCATACTTGTTCTTTCTGACTGGTCCTGGACTCCCCAGGCTCAAACAACTGAATGTAAAAACATATATTTTTAAATTAAAAATATTTTATTTTTTAAGTAAAATTTTTTATTTTAATAATTTTAAAGTCCTCTCCCCCCACAGACACACACAGGGGGGACTTGTCTATGTTCCTCCTCCAAGTATTATTCTGGATTTCTCCTTGAAATTAGTACATTTCTGACATTATAGGCAAGTAGAGAATGATGGAAACAATGGTCCCTTAAAACTGTTGTAAAATTGGTTAAAGGTATAAGATATTTTTTGACTAATCATATGAACAATTGAGGATAAATAAAAACTTTAGAGATGTCCTGTCCAGCATGTTGATAAAAGGATATACTTTAATTCTACTCCACAACCTTAATCTTTTAATTTTATATATCTATGAAGGTACTCTTAGCATATTTTAAGTTAATGGGTATTACTTTTAATGTATAATATTTGATCATGGAAATGTGAGATTAACAAAAGTAACCATGGCATGTGTTACATATGACTTTAGTCTCCTTTTACTGTTCCTAACCTAAAACATTAATGTGGCCTATGAAAACTTTTAGCCAACTTTGGTTGCATATATGTTTATTTAATTATTGATCATCTTATAGATTAACTGAAGAAAAACATAAATTTTAATCTTTTAGCCTGATGAGGTCCACAACAGTTGGTTTCTGACTAACTAATGAAAACTTAGTTTACTATTATTCTACGAAAATCCAGGAAGTCAAATTAGTAACTCAAACAAATGTTTTGCTTTATTCAAGAGCCAAGTAAACCCATTTCGAATTATTCAACCATTGCTGAATTTCTTGAGCACACATAATTAAGAGGTGATTATAATTGGAATGTTCATAAGTTTACAGAATTTTATGCTTAAAATGAACCATGGCCGGTATAGCTAAGTGGTTAGAGCATCTGCTTGTGCACCAAAGGGTCACAGGTTCGATTCCTGGTCAAGGGCATATACCTGGGTTGCAGGTTTGATCTCCGGCCCCTATTGGGGAGGCATCCAATCAGTGTGTCTCTCTCACATTGATGCTTTTCTCTCTCTCTCTCTCTCTCTCTCTCTCCTGTCTTCCTCCCTCCCTCCCTTCCTCTCTTTCTGAAAAATTCAATGGAAAAAATATCCTTGGAAGAGGATTAATAAAAAAAAATTAAAATGAGAGGAGGGACATGAGTTCTTCCTAGGAACACCAGATTTTAGTAAAGAATATAGAGGAATCAGTTGATTTTTAAAAATTTACCATTTAAGACACCACAGGAGGAGGCATTAATAAAGTGGTAGCAAGACAAGAGGACTTGGGAAGGTCAGTTCTGGTTTATGTTAGTGTGTGAGTCCAAGATAAGAGTCAGGTAACAGAGTTTTGCTTCATGTGTTAATTGTAATTAACAGGCATATAGGGGGTTGGGATATAAAGTGGAGAGATAAGAAATGTAGTGACAGGATAGGAGTGGGAAAATATAGGATGGGATCAAGGCACTGGAAGGCAGAAGTACTGAGTACAATGTTTATTATTATTATTACTACAGGCCCGGTGCACAAAATTCATGCGGGGGGGGGGGGGGGTTCCCTCAGCCCAGCCTGCACCCTCTCCAATTGGGGAACCCTTGGGGGATGTCCAACTGCCGGTCATCCCTCTCACAATCTGGGACCGCTGGCTCCTAACCACTCACCTGCCTGCCTGCCTGATCTCCCCTAACTGCCTCTGCCTGCCTGCCTGATCACCCCTAACTGCTCCCCTGCCAGCCTGGTTGCCCCCAACTGCCCTCTCGTCTGCCGTGGTTGCCCCCAACGGCCCTCCCCTGCCAGCCTGGTCACCCCCAACTGCCCTCCCCTGCTTGCCTGTCTCGCCCTCAACCACCATCCTCTGCCGGCCCGGTCACCCGCAACTTCCCTCCCCTGTAGGCCTGATCGCCCCCAACTGTCCTCCCTGCCAGCCTGATTGCGCTTAACCCCCTGCCAGCCTGATCTCGCCCCCAACTGCCCTCTCCTGTTGGCCTGATCGCCCCTAACTGTCTCTGCCTCGGCCTCGACTACCATGGCTTTGTCCAGAAGGGAGTCGGATGTCCAGAAGATGGCTGGTCGACCCAGTCTAATTAGCATATTACCCTTTTATTTGTAAAGATAGATTATATAGGATAGGATTGCTTAAATGGAGGGGGAAAGCCTTTTTCATCAGGAGGAGATGCTCTTGGCAGACAAAAATACATAATCCCTATATCTGGACTGATAGCCATATGCACTGTACTGCCAAACCGGTTATTAAAAAATTGAACCGCTTTCTTACACCTTACACCAAACAGCTGTTGCCCTTAGAACCCCTCCTCAAATAGAAATAAAAAAATACAAAATTTCAGTTAGATTGCCATAGAACTACAACTATGACAACCCCTGAGGGTGGGTTATCTGGCTAAAAACAGGTATTAAAGCATAGAACAAAGGTTCATGCCTTTTCAGATTTACCATCCACACTGGGCAGAACACATCCACAGGACCTGGAATTTCCAGAAGCGTTTGCAGTAGTGGACCTGATAGCTAATGTTTCTCTCTTTCATGCTGGATCATGCTTGGAGCCCAGCCCTGAGCTATCCACCACCTGGCTGACCCACAACTTTCGAAGTTCTACTCAGAAATATAGCAATAGGGAATGGATCAAGACCAAAGGGTTGAAATGACCAGATTCTGGTAAACTAGATGAAAAGAGGAATATCTTATGTGCATATGTTCTTTCAGAGTATCTTGTTTTAAAAGTCATATTTGACCTATAAAATTACAGCCGATGTATTAATATCAGGTCTTCTTTTTCAGAACTTTTATAATCATGGACAAACAAAGTAAGTAAATTATGTATTTACTTTTCTCCTATAATGCTAAATCTGCTGTTAATATATTATCAGAAGTTTTATTGAATTTCTGAAATAATATAATTTGCTTTGTGTTGTTTATTCTTCAGAATCCTAAAGTCTAGTTCAGTGTTTTGATATACAGTATCCACAGATATTCAATACCAATAATTTTTTCTTTAAAAATACAAACGCCTTAAACTTAAGAAATTTTAGGCCTACTGGAAAATATGTTTTATAATTTATACTATATTTCATCCAGACCAGTTTTCCCTTGTATGTGTATTTCATTTACATAAAGATAATTCAAGTCATATTAATTAACATAATACATTTAATATGTCAGTTCATTGTAATAAAATCCTCACATAAATCCCTAATATGTGTTTCATAACATACACATGTGAATAATTTTAAATAAATACCAATCATTATATTCTGGCTTTTTTTTCTTTCAAGAAAAATTTAAATAAGTTAGGTATTGACCAAGCATGTAATAAGACATTGTCTGATTAAAAACCTAAAGCAGCCCTGACTGGTTTGGCTCAGTGGATAGAGCGTCGGCCTGCAGACTGAAGGGTTCCAGGTTTGATTCTGGTCAAGGGCATGTACCTTGGTTGTGGACACATCCCCGGTAGGGAGCGTGCAGGAGGCAGCTGATGGATGTTTCTCTCTCATCGATGTTTCTGACTCTCTATCCCTCTCCCTTCCTCTCTGTAAAAAATCAATAAAATATATTTAAAAACCTAAAGCAATATGTAGGGGGGGGGGAATATTTTTTTAAAAGTCCTGTGTTCTGAAAGGATTTATATTCTCTCTTTAACTTTATGTAGGTAGCCAAAGATGTTTATCTCTCACCACAGTGTCAGCCTTGCTACATGTATATATTTATTAGGACCAGAACTTTGGCTCTTCTTCAGGAAGTTTCATGTTTTTCTCTTAATGTTTGCTATGTTAACTTAATCTTAGTTACAAAACTCAAAGCTTTTTAAATGTAAGTTATATAAAGCTTTGAGTTTTGTAAATAAGATTAAATACATGTGTACATTTCACTTGTTTAATGTAAATTTTAGGATGCTTCAAATCACTTTAGAAAGATTCTTTTGGCCACAGTCATAATCACCTTTTAACTCTTCAGTTTCACATATATAAATTGTATGTACATCAATAGAAGTGAAATGTACATATGTACATAAATATACATATATAAATTAAAATGAAATACCTTTACAACAATGTGATACTCCTATGACTTTATGTTATTTTAGGCTGCATTTCACAAATTCATTTGTAATTCATATGCTCTTTGCTCTACTTGACCACTTGCCCATTCATGTATTTATCTTTGTATAAATTTCCACTAATCCTGTTACCAGGATCATTGCTCTGATACAAAAATCCTAGAGATAATGAGGTCCTAATTTCTTGATTCTGTGATGTCATGGACATATGTTTATCTTCACTATTGTGGTGAACAATGGTATTTGCTCAGAAGTGCCAAAGTGTGACATATCATTTAAGGGTAGGTCTTAAAGTCAGATTTGCAGTTTGTTTCTTTCAGATCTGTCGAGTCTGATCCTGTTGTCTCTAACTCACGCTCAGAGTGGGGAATCTGGGCAGAGCCTTGAGAGCTAGAGAACTAAGCAAGGCCACTCATGTGATGCTGAGAAACAGAAAGGAATGGTTGGGAAAAAAATGGCTTGCAGTAATTCAGAAATCTGTGACAATTTGGTGTGTCTATCCAGGGGAAAGTCCTGATGGAAGTAGCTCTGTTGCCTGAATTTGCAGTCTCCATGGACTCCATTCTGCTGAACTTATTATGAAGCAATTGAATGGAGGAGAGAGTGGGCCCACAGTCCAGCCTTCCTGCTGAAACCACGAATTGAGTGATCTTTAAAATCTCATGAAAGAGAAGCATACAGGGGAGGTGTCAGGTTGAATATTAGGCCAACATTTTCTTCTGTATTGATGCCATGTCCCCATGATTCAAAAAGAAACTTTGAATTTACAGTTAGTAAGTCGTATGAAAGAGAGGAGGACATAATAAAAGTGGAGAGTCCACTAGACTATATGTTCCATGAAGACAGAGCCAGTGTAGCTCCAGAGACTAACTCAGGGGTGAGACAGGAGATACTTATTGTCCAGCTGGGTTGGCCACTAAATGAATAATTGGAGAAACATAAATTTAAAGAACTAGGATGTTGAACTATTTGTACATATATTAGGATTAGTTACGGCACATTGTATATCATTTGATTAGCAAATAATAACATTTAACCTGTTAGTTTATTGTACTTAAGTCAGTTTTGATTTTTATAAGTCAAAATCAGTCAAATATTAGATTTACTTTGGTCAACCTTATTAGGGAAGTCCCAGAGTAAGCATGAAAAGGATATTTAAATACAGATATAGCCTGGCTGCCAGCATGGCTCAGTGGTTGAGCATCGACCTATGAACCAGGAGGTCAGAATTCAATTACCGGTTGGGGCCTATGCCCAGGTTGTGGGCTCGATCCCCAGTGTGGGGTGTGCAGGAGGCAACCAATCAGTGATTCTCTTTTATCATTGACTAGAGGCCCGGTGCTGGGGTCCCTTGTCCTGGCCTGTGGGGATCAGACCAAAACTGGCTCTCCGACATCCCCCAAGGGATCCCAGATTGTGAGAGGGCACAGGCCAGGCCAAGGGAACCCACTAGTGCACAAATCTAGTATGCATATAAGATCTTTGGTTAATCTCTCCCCGCCCTCCCTCCTCCCCACTTCCCTTTGAGATTCATCAGTCTGTTTTCATGCTTTTGGTTTCCACTCCTACATTGAGCGTCTGCCTCCTGGTGGTCAGTGTGCATCATAGCTACCGGCTGGTCAGCAGGTTGGCTGGTTGCTTAGGCTTTTATATCTATAGATGTTTCTATCCCTCTCCCTCTCCTTTCCTCTCTGAAATCAATAAAAATATATTTAAATACATATATATGCATTATTTTAAATATTAAAAAATTCCTAGAGCCATGATTATAGATATCTTTAAAATCATCTATAATTCTTCCATTACCATTCTCACATCCCCCTAGTTTTATTTATCTCTTCACACTCTATATGTGGTTTTAAAACCATCTCTTTTCTAATACCAACAAAATCAGAGTATGGAAGTGAACACTCATCCAGCACAGTTTAAAACTAGAAATTCAAGCCCTGTGAATTTAGCTGTTTCATTTTATCCAAAAGGGAATATGTTTACCCTGGCTGGTGTGTCTCAGTTGGTTGGGCATTGTCCTGTGCACCAAAAGGTTGCCAGTTTGATTTTTGATCAGGGCACATGCCTGGGTTGCAAGCTCAATCCTGGTTGTGGGGAGGGAGAGACATGCGGGATGTTTCATTCTTGAATCGATGTTTCTCGCCTCCCATTCCTTCTCTCTAAAAATCAGTTAAAATTTTTTTTAAAGGGAATTTGTTTGACACATGATTCTGTATCAAAATAATTCTGATAACAGGCACAACTTGTGTTAAGTGAAGAATTCACTCTATTTCAATATAGCACAAGATCATGCAAATGAAGTTACCTATCCACAGACATATTTTTCTTTTTAATGTGTATTTTGTTAAAGCTTAACTCTCCTTGAATTACAGATGCACAAATGAATGCTCCTCACCCAGGAACAAATTTCCCAGCTGGGTATCATCCTCAATATCCTCCGGCAGCATTCCAAGGTAAACGCATTTGTTTAAAGAATAAAGTGAAAATAAATCAATCATTGATATTCTCCAAAGCGAGTGTGTGCATGTCTGTCCATCTGTCTGTGTATTTATTATAGTACTAGTGGCCCTGTGCACAAAATTCATGCCCATTAAAAGGGAATTAATTAGAGGAAATATTTTAATATTGCTATTTGCCCTTTCTCTATAGAAGTGTCAGAGATGAAAGAAAATTAGTAAAATGTATACGAAAATCTCCCTCCTGTCTGAGTCTGGGGCACGCCGTGGGACCCAGAGTCAAGTCCCCACCCACCCACATGTGCCTTGCCTCGAAACACGAGACCCAGACCTGGCCTGCCCCACCCCATCAAGCCCCACAGGGCAGGGGGCCCAGCCTCAGGTCCCCCGACCCCACCCCAGGGCGGGGGCGGGGTGCGGCCTCAGGTCCCCCAGGCCGGGCGCGAGGGTGTGAGGGCGTGATGACAATTTGCATATTAGCTCTATTATGTATGATTGCACTTTGTTGAAGGTGCAATAATGAAATTGGCAGAGTAGTTCTTGATTTGTTTTGGTTGACTATATGTTATCATCAATAGCATTAAAGTATTTTTTTATTGATTGTATTGATTCTCCATCTCTTCAGAAAATTGTGATTATGAAATCAATCAGTTAGGAGATTTGATCCTGAGTGTTTTTGAGTCATGTGGGGCTGAGGTTAATTGTGTTCAGAGAGAGTCACAGAAAAGACATGACTGCTTAAAAGGAAGCTGCAGGCTATAGAAACGCAGCTACTTGGGGATATTCTCATCTTAATCTGATAACAAGTGAAAGCTTTCCTTTTGTATACATGCTGGACCATGCCTTACATGTAGAGGGTCTTAGGAATGGACTATACAGTGGATTAAACTCCAGGGAAATTGTTAAACCAGAAAATTACATGGACAGTACTGGAAGGAATGACATGCCTGTATCTCTATACCAGGGTTTCTCAAAAGCGGCACTGTCATATTTTGGGATGGATAATTTTTTTCATCAGGGTGCTATTTCTGGCATTTTAGGATATTTAGCAGCACTTCTGGCTTCTGTCCACCAGATGTCAGTGTCACCCTCCCTTCTAGTTGTAACAGCCAAAAACATCTTTAGAACTTGCCAAATATACCCTGAAGAGACAAAACTGTCCCCAGTTCTCTCTCTCTATATATAGAAGATATGATTTTTTAGAATTCCAAAATTTCCAGTTTTACAGAGTGCTTTGATCCTAGAAATGCTGGCTCCTAAAGCCTTTATGTTGGACCTTCTACTCAATGTTCTCTCTCTTTTCCATGAAGGCATTCCAGAATATTTGTGCAAATGACTCTAGATCATTGCTGATTCTTTCACTTTCTTAGGTATTAAGCATATTTTCATCTGAGTGTTGAATAATAAAAATAAGGCCAGGGCCAATTCTATTCTGCCCAAAACTCTCAAAATATAAATGTATATGATATTTCATTGAAAATTTGATGAAAGATAAAAACATGAACTTTAAGCTTCATAGAAACAAGATTCCGAAACTGAAATTTCAGTTTGTAGATACTGGGGTAAACCCAAAGACTTGATGTTTCCATTTTTTGGTCTAGTTACAAATTATTTCACTTGTTCATATTGCAGGACCTCCAGGACATACTGGCTACCCTGGCTTGCAATCTGCCTATCCTGGGATGCTAGCAGGCTATCCTGTCCCCCAGGCTGACTATTCAGTCCCACCACCTGGCTGTTCAAGTGCTGGTCCAGTGGGCTTTCCTGTCCAACACCAGCCAGTGTATAATCAGCCAGTTGGACCTGCAGGGGTACCATGGATGCCAGCACCACCACCTCCATCAGACTGTCCACCAGGGTTGGAATATTTAAGTCAGGTAATTTCAAATACCTCGAATAGTCATTCAAATAAAACTGTGCTTCCAGTTTACTTATTAACAAATGACTAATTAGCAAATGTCTGAAATGGTAAAACAACATTTTTTGCAAACAAATTACTCTAATTCTTCTAGGTCAGGTTTACTTTTATTTTTATTTTTTTAAATATATTTTTATTGATTTCAGAGAGGAAGAGAGAGGGAGAGAGAGATAGAAACATGAAAGATGAGAGATATTCATTTATCAGCTGCATCCTGCATGACCCACACTGGGGATGGAGCCCACAACCCAAGCATGTGCCCTCACCGGGAATCGAACAGTGACTTCCTAGTTCATCGGTCGACACTCAACCACTGAGCCACACTGGCTGGGCAGATCAGGCTTACTTTTAAAGCAAACTACATATGGCTTAAGAAATTGAATTTTCTATGATCTTGAATATAATCTGATACTAACCAACAGCAAACACTTATTAAGCACCATTTTCCAGGCTTTGTTCCTAAGTATAATACAAGTATTAACTCATTTGATCCTTATAAAAGCTCTATGATATTTAGGTGTTATAATTATCACTATTTATCACTCAACCACTGAGCCACACTGGCCAGGCCATTCAATAGATATTTTTAATTAAAAATATATTAACTTTAGCTCTGGCCGGTGTGGCTTAGTTGGTTGGGCATTGTCCCATGCACTGAGAGGTTGCTGGTTCAATTCCCAGTCAGGGCACATGCCCGGGTTGTGGGCACAATCCCCAGGGAGGAGTGCAGGATGCAGCTAATGGATGTTTCTTTTTCCCCTTCCTCTCTCTCTAAAAATCTATAAACTATTCTTTAAAAAATAAAAGAAATAAAAAATATAAAGTATATATTAATTTCAGGTATATCTAGAAGTAATATAAATTATCATTAAATATTGATAATATTGGTAAGTATTGTTAATTGATTATATGTATTCTTTAAAATATAAAAACTGATGTTAATTTGGTTGGCTTAAAAATGTGATATATAATTTACAGTTTAACTTTTTGTTTTTATTATAATAGATAGATCAGATACTGATTCATCAGCAAGTTGAGCTTCTAGAAGGTATGTATTAATTGTGTTGATTATATTTCTAGAAAGAGAAGACATTTGTGCAAATAAAGGCATATCAACAACCACAATTATAACACTTTAACAGATGTGGAATGATTAAAACTGTTTATTTACAAATGTCTCTCATCCTGATAATTCATTTCTTGAACTTAGGAATCAAGTGGTAAAATACTATTACTCTGAGGATCCGTCCTCATGATATAGACCCTAATTTAGAAGGAAACCAACCAAAATTTACTTTTGCTCCCTCTTCTCTCTAGAAAGCACTTCAGTGATTTATCACTTTATCTAACCTCTCTCACTCTGGCTTTTCCTCCCCTAATATGTGATAACCTTGAGATTGGCACAGAGCCACGTGCAGTAGTGCACTTATCTTAGTGCATTTCCAAAGTGAATACATTTTTTGAATCTGGATGGGTATGTTGTAGAAAATTACAATCCTGCCAACAGTTTCTCTTGTAAAACCCTTTTGTCATGGGCCGAGGATTATCACTTAGGATGTTGAAGGATGCTGATCAGCAGGCCTAGAGATCTGACTTCCCAAAACAGCATTCCTGCTCATGTCTCTCTGGGTACAGTACTCCTCACATATAATATGAGCATAGGAAGTCACCAGATGTTTCAAAACTCGTGCCAGGAAGATTCATGAACCATAGTGTCTTTTTTCCTAGATATAGACTTTAATGAAAACTCTTCACCTCTCTGCAAAGTTTCTTACCACTAGTAGAAATTATAATATTAATTTCACTAGTCGGTGATAGATTCAATTACAATAAAATTATTATCTATTATATTCAGATTACATACAACATACATTGGTAGGTATTTATAATGTTCTCATTATTGTTAGTTTGTTTAAACTAAGTTTAAACTCCTGGAAAGGAGCTCTTTGTTGTTGGATAATTTGTATTCTGAATTTTTTTTTCATGTTTTATTTTAGGGAATTTATTTTTGAGATTATAGATCCTCCCAAAAGACCCTATATAGTACAGTACTCCATTCATAGTTTTTAGATTTATAACA